GGATTGCCCCAGGCTGTGCGTCCTCGGGCTCTCCCTCGCCTCGGCGGCCCCAGCAGCCTGGGAAGCGCCGGCGCCGCTCTCGGCGTGAGACGCTTCGGCCCGTGACGTGGCCGCTGCGGATTAACTGGCCTGGTGAAAAATCAAGCGGAGAAACATTTGGAGCATCCGCTGAGCGTTGGGGTGGACCCATCGTTCCTGCCATAAAGCCACCGCATCTCACACGAGACAGCGTCGCGGGAAATCGGTGAAGAAAAAGTAGAAAGCGGCACAAGCCGTTCAAAGAAGAGAACCTTTGGTTTTTAAGCAGCTACCGTGGATGAAGACGATCCCTGGACGTTGGCGGCTGCGTGGCGTTCTCCTCTGCGTGCTCACGGCGGAGGCTTTGCTCCGCAGCTCGCCCCAGCAGCCAGCACAGGCCCTCGGGGACGCTCGTGCCGCACGTCTGCCCTCGCTGCCTGCTCGGGATGTCACAGAACGGCAGGGGAAGCTTCCAGCAACGAGCCCGGTTTATTTTTTGTCCCTCGTGATCGGCACAGAGGGTTTTTTAGCACACGGTGGGAGCAGGAGGGTGTAGTTGCTACAGGCACGTTGGTGCACAGAGGAGAGGTTGGTATGAAACGGGGTTCTCCGGAGCGTGCCAAAATCCGTACGACTGCTGATGTAGTGGCTTTGAGTTGGGGTTTTCCTTGTCACAGCGGCGTTTTTCCCAGTATTATTTTCCAGCTTCCTCCTTGCAAAGCGCTCGAGGTAAAATCTCGGCTCCTCCAGCTTCAGCCCGTGAATCCCCAGGATGATTTCACTGACCTAGGGATGATCCACACCAGCTTCTTCCCGAGCCGTGCTGCTAACGGAGCGGCAGCCCTGGTGCCACCTCTGCTCCCGGCCATCTCTTGCCCTCTCTGCCACCTCCCGCGTCCCTGCCACGTCCCTTCGCTGTCCCAACTGCTCCCGTGCCGGGCGCAGCGGGTCCTGCAGCCACCAGACGACGGGCTGCGGAGTGCAACGAGGAGCTTACAGGAGCTTTACCTTGAGTGATCCAGACATGAAGGAATTTCATCCTGTGTTTGAAATAAAACGTGTTTATTTACCTTCTTCCTCTGAGTCACTGCTGAAACATCTCATCCTCAGCCGCCACGTCGGGAGCACAATCGCTGATGAAAGGCGTCCCAACGTGTACTTTTGACCTTCCCCTCGCAAAGGGAAAACCCTCAGACCTCGAGCTTCGCTCTGCCCCCGGGATGATCCTGCCTCCCTCTAGCCAGGGCTTTCTGCTGCGCTCGAAGGTAAATCTAGGGGTTAAGATCCTGCTCCTCTTCTTCAGAATGAAGGGCAAAACCTGATCTCGGCAATGCCGAGGACATTCATTCAGCAACTTGACAGGGAGCTGATTTGTCCCGTGGGGGGCAACGCGATGGACTCGTTCATCTGATACCCGAATCGAGGAGCTGCCTCAGCAGAGCCGCCTGCTGCGGAGGGACGCGCCGGTGCGAGGGCTGGTGTAAAACCTTGCCAGGCTCTGGGCTCAAAAAAAATGATACTTGCAAACAACAAAATCCACAAAGAATTTAATGGAAACCCCTTGGTAAAGGTTGGTGTCACCTCCCATGTGGGACGTTCTTTAAAGGGGGGATTCAGCATTGCTAAATTGCAC